CTCAAGGTTGACCATTTTCCCTTTAGAGAAGCCAGCCAGTCAGAAGTGAAAGAAGTGAAGGCAGTCCAACACTGGTAGATCCCGAAGCCTGAACCGAAGCCCTAAACCCTAAGCTCTAATACCCTACAGCCCCAAACCCCGCTGGCGGAGAATTTTCTTGCCCGGCTAGGGCGGCGAGCCAAGGCCCAGGACCACAGCCCAAACGGGTTTAGGGTTTAGGGTTTTTTTGGTCCCGCTGAGGAGAAGCTGTCAGGGGGCGACCTAGACGACCTTTTGGAGAGGACGAGCATCTGCTTTCGGAGTGGAATATAGGGGCCTTAACAATCAGAATAGGGTTTAGGGTTTAGGGTTCAGGGTTTAGGGTTTGGGGTTTAGGGGCCTTGAACAAATTAGAACAGGGTCTTAGGGGTTCTTATAGTATATGTATAAACGGACCAGAGCGGCATACTATTAGCAACTATTCCGACCCTTATGCTAGCGTTTTGAGACCTTGGTCTTCCGGGTCCAGACCAAAAAAGCGTCACCGTGAGGAGCCTCCTTCGGGGATGTTCCCCCTTGTACTAACAGTCCTAGAACAGGGATTATAGTATCGCCTATTGTAATCCCTAAACCCTACACCCTAAACCCAAAACGCTAAACCCTAAACTCTAAACCCTACACCCTAAACCCTAAACCCTAAACCCTAAACCCTGAACCCTAAACCCTGAACCCTAAACCCCAAACCCTAAACCCTAAACCCTAAACCCTAAACCCTAAACCCTAAACCCTAAACCCTAAACCCTAAACCCTAAACCCTATTCAGGGCTGCGAGTATCAGGGGGAGCATCCCAAGGCCTCCTTGTTATGAAGTGGTTAGGCTCCAGGGTTACAGGGTTTAGGGTTTAAGGGTTTAAGGGTTTAAGGGCTTTGGCCCCTCGCCTCCAAGGCATGAGAGGCTATCCCTAATCCCTAAACCCTAAACCCTAAACCCTAAACCCTAAACCCTAAACCCTAAACCCTAAACCCGAAACCCTAAACCCTAAACCCTAAGTGTAGTGTAGGCAAACAACGGCTGTGGGGTTTCACAATGTTTGGGTGGTTGGGGTTTAAGGGCTTCGGGTTTAGGATTTCTAGGGTTTAGGGTTTAGGGTTTAGGGTCTAGGGTGTAGCGTGTAGGGTTTAGGGTTCTGTGCTTTGAGGGGCCTCACGGGTCATGTGTTGGATTTGGGCCTTAGGGCGATGATCCTCGGCAAAGATTTTGGGGCCCGCGGCTGCGTTGAGAAAGGCAAGCTTCCCCTCTCCCACAGCCGCTTCCGACATGTACTTTCATGCCTACTTCAAGGTTAGGTACTTCTAAAGCATAGCTAATTCGGAGATGACGTGCACTTGTGAGCTTAGTGACCTTAAAAGAAAAGCATGTTGAATCTACATACAGCGCCCATGAATTCTTCAACCTTCAACGAGCTCATGCCTGACCACCAGCAGCGCCCCGCCAGGGCTTCAACCACTCCACAGCCCGAATGACGAACTAGAACGGTTTAGGGTTCAGGGTTCAGGGTTTAGGGTTTAGGGTTTAGGGTTTAGGGTTCAGGGTTCAGGGTTCAGGGTTTAGGATTTAGGGGTTTAGGGTTTAGGGCCCAATGCTGACGACACGCCGGGAACCTCGCATGCGGAACACCATCAACGAAGGACGAAGATGCCGTAAGCAACACCAACCCAAAGTGCCCAGTCGTTTGGATTTGTTTGTTTAGTTCATTTGACTATATATATATATATATATATTTATTTATTTTATTACATTTTTTCTTTTTTTTTTTGAGGGGGGGGGGGGGGTGGTGGCCCGGGGTCATTTAGGGCTTATTCTCCCTCTTTCCTCGGGTGTAGGGTTTGGTCTGATTGCCTTGGATGTGTAAGCCACCCAGCTGCCCTGGCCTCCGAAGAACAGCCATGCCTTCAGGGTTTAGGGTTTAGGGCTTAGGGTTTAGGGTTTAGGGTTTGGGGTTTAGGGTTTAGGGTTTAGGGCTTAGGGCTTAGGGTTTAGGGTTTAGGGGTTAGGGCCGCTGGCGGGAGGAGCGGATGCTTGGGCGAGCACCTGGTTGCCCGCATCATCCGCCAGGTCCGCTTAGGACCCTGAACTCGGGATGTTCCCGCTTGTACTAGCAGTCCTTAATAGGGATCATAGTACCCCTTAGTAGAATCCCTATTAAGGGGCTGTTAGTGTAAGGGGGAACGTCCCAACCCTGAACCCTATAGGACCCAACAAACCCACAGTCCCCAACCCTGAACGGGTGCAGGGTCCGGGATTTGGAGGGCGCGTCGTTCTCCACATCGTAAATTCTAAACCCTGAGCCTGGAATCTAAACCCCTAAACCCTGTGAAATATAGATGAACCTACACACCTAACTGTATCCTCCTTGGGAACTATTTTTTTAATTTTTTGTTTATGTAAAAACCCAAGAGGATATTAAAGATACTATGTTAATTAAGGTTCTAAGGGGAGTATAGCTAAGCCCTAGACCCCAGAACAAGTCATCAGCTCGCTCGAGAGCTCAGGGGGTGTCATCTGCTCACCCTGATCGGGTCTTTCAGCTTCGAAACCCTAAACCCTAAACCCTTAAGCCTAAACCCTAAACCCTAGACCCTAGTTAAACCCAAGACCTTGTTCGTTTTGGGGTTTAGGGTTGAGCGTTTAAGCCCATCCCACTGACACAGTGCAAGCACCAAGGGACACTTACGTGTGCTTCCTGTTCAGGCTTCAGGGTTTCGGGTTTAGGGTTTAGGGTTTAGGGTTTAGGGAGCCTCTTACAAGACTCTTGCAAGTTACAGGGGAGACAACTAGTTCCCCTTGCCTGAAACTGGGGATTTGAGGGTCAATAACTCTATGTGGGAGCATCGCGACAATACCTTCAGTTGAGGGATCTATAACCCGAAGTTATATGAAGCAGGGAAGGCATATACACCCTACTTCGTACTGCTTACAATTTTCAACACAGAATATCAGGGCCTTTTGCAGTTCTAGTAGTCACTCGGGGGGGGCGGGGGGGGGGGGGGGGGCTCCCTCGACCTTCCTTACCCTAACCCTAAACCAAAACCCAAGCCCTAAACCAAAACCCTAAACCCGAAACCCGAAACCCTAACCCCGAGTCAAGGTGCTCGCGGGCGCAGCTTTTGCCATGAGCGCGGCGTCCTTCACCGGGATTTGTCGCTTGCCGAAAGTCGAGTTTATGGGGTGAAGGTTTAGGACTCAGGGCTAGGGCTTCGGGTTTATAGGGCTGAGTAGGGGGGGGGGGAGGGGTTAGGGTTTAGGGTTTAGGGTTTAGGGTTTAGGACTTGGGGCTTAGGGTAAGGGGGAGGGCGGCGGGAGTGAATACAGGTAGTGCTACAGGCTACAGGGGTACACGTGAGGCGCCCCTGTGACTCACCAAGTTCACTTGACCCTCGGTCAGTATCAGCATTGTCGCCCTTGCCCTTCACCACGATTACCAGAACATAGGGTGTGGGGTTTAGGGTTTAGGGTTTAGGGTTTTGGGTTTTGGGTTTTGGGTTTTGGGTTTTGGGTTTGCCACACAAAAGGCCAGCATCACCGCCTTGGCGTTTCACCTGAGCCCACAAGCCCCAGAGTCCCAGGGTGCGACGTACGCCCCTGCTTCCTAAATGGGGGGGGGGGTTTCCGAAATTTTAAGGTTTAGGGTTTAGGGTTTAGGGTTTGGGGTTTAGGGTTTAGGGTTTAGGGTTTCGGGATACTATATGGGGCTTTCCGAAACTCGGGGTACCTTCTTGGGGTCCTTACAAGAAGGGAATCCTTCTCTGTGGGGGACCATATGAGGACCCATTGTTTTCGTAAACCCCCCCTAAGTCCCTGAACCCTAAAACCCTAAATCCTAAACCCTAAAGCCCTAAGTCCCCCACCCTAAACCCCAAACCCCTAAACCCCTAAACCCCTAAACCCCTAAACCCCTAAACCCCTAAACCCCTAAACCCCTAAACCCCTAAACCCCTAAACCCCTAAACCCCTAAACCCCTAAACCCCTAAACCCCTAAACCCCTAAACCCTAAACAATCTGCCTTCAGTCTAAGGAAGCCCGGCAATGTCATGCTGGTGTGTGCCGATCTGCACGAGCAGAGCTTCTGATGCACAGTTAACATAGGGGTTTAGGGTTTAGGGTTTGGGTTTAGGGTTTAGGGTTTAGGGTTTAGGGTTTAGGGGTCGGGGCTACTGCACGTACCAAGACCCCGGTAGTCCGGGTCATCCGAGGCAGGTTCGTAGAATAAGTTACAAAGCAGTACAAGAGGTTTCAAGGTTTAGGGTCTAGGGTTTAATTAGGCTTTAGGGCCCTAAACCCTAAACCCTAAGCTTTGAGAAGTAAGTTCCAAGGGCCACACCCCAGCACTACGGCTTGCCAGCATCTTGATTGCACCCTCCCTCCGCTGCAATTCCCGCAAGAAAGCCATGGCTTCCCGCGCCCTCCTCACCCTCCTGGCCACCACAGCGGCTGGCATGAAATGCCCTGGCTGCCCGGCGGCTTTCCGTTTTTGTTTTTTTGGTGGGGGGAGGGGGGGGGGGGGTTAGGGAATATAAGGAACCGTAAACCCTCAACCCGAAAACCTAAACCCTTAACCCTAAGCCTTTGCAGGGTTTATTGGGCTTGCAGGTTTTTGCTTGGAGGTTCAGGGTACTTACTAGCCCAATAATAACTGCACTTAGCACCCAATTATAACCAAATTAGGGCACTGAAGGGACCCATAAGTGGGTTATAAGTACAGTTATAACTAGGATAATAAGTACCATGAACCTCCAAGTAAAGGTTGGGCCACCCTAAACCCTAAACCCTAAACCCTAAACCCTAAACCCTAAACCCTAAACCCTAAACCCTAAACCCTAAACCCTAAACCCTAAACCCTAAACCCTAAACCCTAAACCGGGTAACCCTAAACCCTAAACCCTTAACCCTTAAGAGCCCTATCATAACCCTCAGCCAGGATCCGGCAGTTGGATCCACGCTTGGGCGGAGGTGGAGGCCATGGCAGATGCCAGCTGTGCCGACGTCATGGAGGAGACTCTTTTAAGGGCTTGAGTGATGATGAACCCTAAACCCTAAACCCTAAGCCCTAAACCCCAAACCCTAAATCCTAAACCCTAAACCCTAAACCCTAAACCCTAGAACCCTGAACGTTGAGGGCTTTTGGTGCATGCAGGTTTCAAGGTTTGTTGCGACCGGGGACGAAGCGCGAGGACAACACGACAGATGCCCCTAGCAGCTTTGGAGCTACATGGCCCCTGAGTATGGTCCCTTACCCTCCTTTCAAGGGTTCTGAAGTATGAACCCCTTGGGTTGTATACGGTCTACAAGGCGTAAACCCTAAACCCTAAACCCTAAACCCTAGATCCTAAACCCTAAACCCTAAACCCTAAACCCTAAACCCTAAACCCTAAACCCTAAACTCTTTTAAGGGTCCGTACGAAGGCACCGCGTGCCTAACCGAGCTTACCTTCGAAGGTCCGGCTTCCTAAAACGGTCCAACCAAACCCCCCCCCCCCCACCCCCCCCAAAACAAAAAAACCCTACACCCCACACCCTGACCTTTCGGGTTTAGGGTTTAGGGTTTAGGGTTTAGGGTTTAGGGTTTAGGGCCCTCTCCTTCACCCCCCCCCCCCCAAGCGCCCCTCCCCGAAAAAAGAAGTCACACACATGCGCACACACACAGAGAACTGCACGGCGTTCCCGGAACTTCGGTCGGAAGAGGACCCTAAACCCTAAACCCTAAACCCTAAACCCTAAACCCTAAACCCTAAACCCCCTAAACGCCGAAGTGCAAGATGGTTTCCGAGCCTTCTCCTACCTAGATCCCAAACGCAGTTGAGCCTTGAGGTCCCTGTTTGGAGCTTCATGTCGGGTTTGGGGCTGAGGGTTTTCAGACTTAGGGTTTAGGGTTTAGGGTTTAGGGTTTAGGGTTTAGGGTTTAGGGTTTAGGGTTTAGGGTTTAGGGTTTAGGGTTTAGGGTTTAGGGTCTTGTAACCTCAATTATAAGTCTAATTATAAACTACTTAGAAGACTTGCAAGTCTTCCTGAGGATGGTATCAGAACAACAAGCTGCGTACCAGACAAACCCTAAAGCCTAAAGCCTAAAGCCTAAAGCCTAAACCCTAAACCCTAAACCCTAAACCCTAAACCCCAAACCCTAAACCCTAAACCCTAAGCCTTTCTACCACATCGTGGGTCTCGGGTCTTCTTTGGGACGCCTTGAAAGCCACGGAGAGGAGATTCGTGCACGCGTGACCTCCGACTCCTGGGTCGATCCTCATAACAAAGGAACCTACACTCTCCTGTCTGAGGCGAAGGACAGGGTTTGGGGTTTGGGGTTTAGGGTTTGGGGTTTGGGGTTTAGGGTTTAGGGTTTAGGCTGGTTATATCATCCCAGGCCCGAGAGAGCCGAGGCACAGGCTTCAACCACCCCTGCTTAAACACCCTACGGAGACTTAAACCCTAAGCCCTAAGCCCTAAACCCTAAACCCTAAACCCTAAACCCTAAACCCTAAACCCTAAACCCTAAACCCTAAACCCTAAACCCTAAACCCTAAACCCTAAACCCTAAACCCTAAACCCTAAACCCTAAACCCTGAACCCGAAGCGCACCTGTTTGGCTTGAAAAGGAATGCGGTTCTGGAGTAAGTTACCCTAATTGAAGCTCTGAAAGTTATGCCTGCGCGGTCATATGGTCCCTTTCGGCTGAGCTAGACTACGCCTTTGCGAAGCCACGAGGACGAGCTCGACATCCAGCGCGTCACTGGAAACAAAAAGTACCCAGGTTGGATTTTGGGACATGCTTATATTTTCCTTATTTAAGAGGGTTTACCTTTAAACACCATGAACATATTTCTATTTCTATATACATATATATATATATCTTTCTTTCCATTTCTATATATATATATATATGGAAATATTTTTCAGAGTGTTTAAAGGCCAACCCAGGTACACGGACAAGATCATCTTTTCCTTCTCGGACTTCGGTGGGGCGAAGCCGGCTTGCGGCATCAGCGCCTGCTCAGAGTCCCAGGACATTTGGCAGAGAAAGCCCTGAAGCCTAAACCCTAAACCCTAAACCCTAAACCCTAAACCCTAAACCCTAAACCCCTAAACCTCAGTCAATCGCAGCCCAATGCAACGATCTGAGCCAAACATACTGAAGAGATGTCTCCCGCCCCCTCCCCCACCCCTTACACACCTTAGCCTTAGCCCATGTACCAAAGTCCGACAGTCCTGAAGATAGAAGCCGCAGGGTTTCTCGATCGGTGACTTTTCCACCAACTACTGCAACATTCGCAACCTCTATTGCGGGAAGGAGGACGGATGTGGCGTGGGTGTGCTTGAGAATTGTAGACCATTTTTTGTGAGTAAATACGAGGAAAGCTTGCTTTTGAGGGAGGCTTAGGATGTTCACCCTTATAGTAGCAGTCCTGAATAGGGATTATGATAGGGGATACTATAGTCCATATTAAGGGTTGAGGGTTAGGGTTTAGGGTTTAGGGTTTAGGGTTTAGGGTTTAGGGTTTAGGGTTTAGGGTTTAGGGTTTAGGGTTTAGGGTTTAGGGTTTAGGGTATAAGGGGGAACATCCAAATCACCGCCACCAAGGCGTGGCTGTCAAGAAGTCCTTTGGGACCAGCGAGACGAAGATCGACCACAACTTCGGTGCGGGCGAAGACAAGAAGGCATTCCGAAATGGGGTTTAGGGTTTAGGGTTTAGGGTTTAGGGTTTAGGGTTTAGGGTTTAGGGGGTTTAGGGTTTAGGGGGTTTGGGGGTTAGGTTTTAGGGGGTTTGGGGGGTTTAGGGGGTTTAGGGGTTTAGGGGGTTTAGGGGGTTCAGGGGGTTTAGGGGGTTTAGGGGGTTTTAGGGGGTTTAGGGGTTTAGGGGGTTTAGGGGGTTTAGGGGGTTTAGGGGTTTAGGGGGTTAGGGGGTTAGGGGGTTTAGGGGGTTTAGGGGTTTAGGGGGTTTAGGGTTTAGGGTTTAGGGGGTTATAGGGTTTATAGGGTTTATAGGGTTTATATAGGGTTTATAGGGTTTATAGGGTTTTATAGGGTTTATAGGGTTTATAGGGTTTCGGGTCCCAAAGTAGGGGTACCCCCCTTTTTACCCCAAGCGGAATAGAATCCCTTAAAGCAACCCCCCCCCCCAAAAAAAAAAAAAAAAAAAAAGTACCCCCTACGTTCGGAAACCCAAAACCCTAAACACTAAACCCTAAACCCTAAACCCTGAACCCTAAACCCTAAACCCTAAACCCTAAACCCTGAACCCTAAACCCCAAACCCTAAACCCTAAAACCCTAAACCCTAAAGCCCTAAACCCTAAAACCCTAAGCCCTAAACCCTACACCCTACACCCTAAACCCTAAACCCTAAAACCCTAAACCCTAAACCCTAAACCCCCAAATGGGCTTGGGCCTTCCCAGTTTGAGGGCTGGACCCTGGCGAGGCAAGAGCCAGCATGTAAACAGACATGTTGTTTTTTCTTGGTTTAGGGTTTAGGGTTTAGGGTTTTTGTTCCTCACAATCGAGATATCACCCCCCAAAACCCTACACCCTAAACCAACTGGAGCAGGCGTGCATTGTGACTCCCTCTGAGCTCGTCATGTGAGCTGGGAAGCAGAAAGCAGTGGCCGGCTCCTTTGAAGCCGCGGTGCCTGCAAAGCTGGCTGCAGAAGCCTAGACCCAGCCAAGCTCTGCAAAAAAACCTCCATGAAGGGGTTTAGGGTTTAGGGTTTAGGGTTTAGGGTTTAGGGTTTAGGGACTGCACCAATGGAACACGAAATATCTGCGGGCGGCTGGTGTTGTGCGCTGTTCCCCTCGATTCCCCTTGGTCGGCTTGCGGCAAGGGTCGCGCCAGCACCGCACAGAGTGACTGAGAGTGAAGCCTGATCAAAAGAGAGCCTGAGGCTGGGACAGGGCTGAGGCTCTGAGGGTTTAGGATTGAGGGTTCAGGGGTTTAGGGTAACATCCCTTCTGCTCAGGAATCTATCGAGCTCCATAGCTAGGTTCCGCGATTAAGGCTCAGAACAAGTTCTCGTAAAATTGGACTAAACCCTAAACCCAAACCCTAAACCCTAGACCCTAAACACGGGACCCGAAATGGGGCCTATCATTTCGTGAACTAACGGTTGGGTTCCTGAAGCCCGGGATTTGAAGGGTGGAAGATCTGATAGATTTTAGGGTTTAGGGTTTAGGGTTTCGGGTTTAGGGTTTAGTCCAGGCGGGCAAACAAGGCTCCCACCCGAGCTTCGTCAAGCCAATGCGTCTGCCTGCATTCTCTGGCAGGCTTACAATGAGGGTTTAGTGTTTAGGGATTAGGGTTTAGGTAAGTCGTGCTACCGGTAAGAATCATTGTCAGGAAAGAAAAATGATATTGGCCAAGCTTTCCGTCTGGCCCTTATCCGGCATCCGGTTCAGAAACCAGCCCCAAACCCGGAGTCTCGGGTTTGAACATGTAAGGTTTGGAGTAAACCCTAAACCCTAAACCCCCAAACCCTAAATAGTGGGAGAGCGAGCGAGAGAGAGAGAGAGAGAGAGAGAGAGAGCGAGAGAGAGAGAGAGAGAGATAGAGAGAGAGAGAGAGAGCGAGAGAGAAAGAGAGGAGCGAGAGGAGCGAAAGGAGAGGGAGAGAGGGGAAAGCGGGAGAAAGCGGCAGAGGGAAAGGACATGGGGCAGAGGAAGAGGGAGAGGGGAGAGGAGGAAGAGGAAGAGTGAATACGCCTTAAACTACCTCGAACCTCGACCCTCCAAATAAGCACCCTAAAGACTAAACACCCTAAACCCGAGATCCTCAAAGCTTCCCACACCGTAAAAACCCTAAAAATCTACACATCTTAAACCCTAAAAAAACCCTAAAACCCTAAACCCTGAAGTACTTAGACCCTCTAAACATCTTAAAACCCTAAACCCTAAACCCTAAGCCCTAAGCCCTAAGCCCTAAACCCTAAACCCTAAACCCTAAACCCTAAACCCTAAACCCTAAACCCTAAACCCTAAACCCTAAACCCTAAACCCTAAACCCTAAACCCTAAACCCTAAACCCTAAACCCTGCCCTTGGAGCCCAGGAGCCTGGCATGGCTCACCGGCTGCTGCCTAAGCCCGCACCTTGAGGAAGGTGCGGCTTTCGGGGTTGGGGTTTAGGGTTTAGGGTTTAGGGTTTAGGGTTTAGGGTTTAGGGTTTAGGGTTTAGGGTTTAGGGTTTAGGGTTTAGGGTTTAGGGGTTAGGGTTTAGGGTTTAGGGTTTAGGGTTTAGGGTTTAGGGTTTAGGGTTCAGGGTTTAGGTTTAGGATTTAGGGTTCAGGGTTTAGGGTTTAGGGTTTAGGGTTAGGGGGACAGATTGTGAATAAGAGTCAAGCATCGCAACAAGAGCAATAGAATTGATATTCGTGCCCCCATATCTGCGGGTTGGGATTTTGAGCCCCACTCCATCACTCCCCAATCTCAGGGAAAGGACTTCAACAGGCTGTTGGGTGCTCAAGGTTATGAGATAGAAAGACACAGTCAGCCGCAAACTGATAATCAGAATACTGATCACAATAACAAAAACACTCATACTAGTAGGCATGTAGAGGCCTCATCAAGTGAGCAAAATGTTACTTCTTGTTTATATGTGTATATATATATATATATATATGTCTTCTTTATGTTTTTTCTTTTGGGGGGGCGGGGTGCTCGCGGTTTGCAACCCTAAACTCTACACTCTAAATTCTAAACCCCAGGCCCTAAACCCTAAACCGTAGACCCTGAACCGAACTTTATACCCTACACTGGAGGCAGCTACAACTGCAAGATCATCGACTTCGGGTTGTCTGCAACGTATGACCCGAGCGATCCTGGCGGCGGCATCACGGACGCGGCTGGCTTGCGGTTGACCTGTGGGGCTTCAGGCTTTGTCTTGGTGGTACCCTCTACTACTAGTTGCTTAAGAACCCCCCCCCCCCCACATATTCTTCCTTGTTAAGGGTAATGCAGGGGTTATTATTTTTCTTTTGGGGTTCTTAAGCAAATAGTAGTTTACCATTTTTCCGGCTCTGGGTCGCTTTTCAAGTAACCAACGAAGAAAGGGTACCCTTACTATTGTAATATGGTTATTGGGCTGCTAAGTTTTGGGAGGGGTGTGAGGGTTAGGTCTTTAGGTTTTTTTTAGGGGGTTTTATAGGGTTTGGGGGTTCAGGGGTTATGGGAGGGAGGGAGGAGGGATAGAGTAATGTTATCAGAGTTCTCAGCGTGTGTAGGTGCAGATGTCGGAGTTTACGGTTCTGGGGAGTCTAGGGACTTTGTGCTGCAGCTTTGTGAGGTTGTATTCATGTTATATATTGTCCGGTTTGGGCTGTTTTGCATGGTGCCAACTACGCGTAAACCCTAATGTTGCACTCGCTTTAGTGAGAAGGGGCACTACTACGCGATGTTCCGGAAATCCTATAGGGGACCCCCCATTGTTTAGGGTGGTCCTCAATTGTGCGATGTTTGCCCGGCCGGGGTTGAAGGGCGGGGGGCCGGGGAGCCAAAAACTAAAACAAGTTTTGAATAAGAAACACCGGATTTTTTTGGTGTCCAGCCTTATTTAAAGTTCCTTTAAAAATCTCATTACGAAACAGGCCCCCAAACAATTTTCCAAGGGAGTAGCCCACGAGCTGCCCTGATTCGCTTTAGCAAGTTGTTTCGGTGGTCCGCATTTATGCGGAGCCCCGGCGACCGTGGAGCTACAAAGCCTGGAAAGCTTAGACCCTCAAGCTCAACCCTCGACCCCTAGCCGCCCTACCCCCAGCCCCGTCCCAGCCCCAGCCCACAGCATTCAGGATCCCCGAAAACCCCAAAATTGTTTGGGGGGGGAGGGGGGGGGGGGACCCCTGCGCACTAAAGCGAGTCCAACATTAATCCCGAAACCTGGGCTTATTAGGTTTTGAGGCCTAGGGTCTGGCCCATGTCATGATTCGAAACCCTATTGCCAGAAGGCAAGTCCGTAAGTCCTGAACCCCAAAAAACCCTAAACCCTAAACCCTAAGCCCTAAGCCCTAAGCCCTAAACCCTAAACCCTAAACCCTAAACCCTAAACCCTAAACCCTAAACCCTAAACCCTAAACCCTAAACCCTAAACCCTAAACCCTAAACCCTAAACCCTAAAACCCTAAAACCCTAAACCCTAAACCCTAAACCCTAAACCCTAAACCCTAAACCCTAAACCCTAAACCCTAAACCCTAAACCTGCCGAGGTGAATGGGACCCCAGCCTACATGGCGCCAGAGGTCTGCAAGAGGGCTGGAGCTCCTTCTCAAGGGGTGTACTGGGAGGGGGCCCCCCTTTGCCATGCGAGCTCCGGGGGTTTGGGGTTTAGGGTTTAGGCTTAGCGTTTGGGGTTTTGGGTTTAGGGTTTAGGGTTTAGGGCTAGGGGCTTAAGGTTTAAAAATTCGGGACCCATAAACTTAAGTTATGACCCCGTGTGAGGCGCTCGAGCCATGGCTGTCGCAGATGCGTTGTGCACATAGATACATACGTACGCACATACATACATGCATACATATATACATGCATGCATGCATACATACATACATACATACATACATACATACATACATACATACATACATACATACATACATACATACATACATACATACATACACACACACATACATACATACATACATACATACATACAACTATACATACATACAGACATACATACATACATACATACATACATAC